CCGGAGGGGGAGATCTGTAGGGCACAGGGCCGTAGGGGGAGATCTGTAGGGCACAGGGCCGGAGGGGGAGATCTGTAGGGCACAGGGCCGTAGGGAGAGATCTGTAGGGCACAGGACCGTAGGGAGAGATCTGTAGGGCACAGGGCCAGGTACTGAGATCTGGAGGGCACAGGACCCGAGGGGGAGATCTGGAGGGAACAGGACCGGAGGCTGAGAACCCGAGGGCACAGGCTTGGATGCTGAGATCCCAAGGGCACAGGGATGGATGCTGAGCTCCTGAGAGCACAGGGCCAGAGGCTGAGATCTCGAGGGCATAGAACCGTCTGAGATCGTGAGAGCCAGAACAAGACTGGTCCACTGTTGCTGCATGATGCAACACTCCCTGTAACCATCACACCCCTTATTTCTTAAGTCTTGCAGATACTTACATACAAAACAGTTTATAATTCCAAGCCCCCTGAGAGATGAACCAGCATCTTATTCTAATCTGAGGACCTTCACACAGATATGGCCATGGTGACTTTTCCTGGCTAACAGATTAAACTCAAGGGCCATTAAATTCAATGTTGTCCCTTTATTCGCATTTGGTGATACATGACAATCAAAATGCATTTCATACCCACTGCATTTAGTATAGGGTCACGGGGGGGGGGGTTGGGAACTCCCTGGATGGGACACCAGTCAAGTTTAAGCCTTAGCTTATGGCACTTCACCAAACCTGGAAGCCACAGAGCCAGAATAAACTCTACACACAGAGAGAGTGGGGCTGCAATCATATCCATACAGCAGCAGAGGCAAGTGGCTCCATGCTGCACGTCTGCAAAAGCTTTAGTGAACACAGCTTTAAAAACAGAGATAAAATACAGGTTTTAATGAAGTTTACGTATGCATCCCTCAGTATAAGAAACAACTGTGTTTTGGAAAAGCTATGAACAATGTACACACAAGCAAAGGATAAGAAGTGACATTTCACTCTCAAAGATGGGCACATAAGAAGCAAACAAAGTCATTAAAACCAAAATAAGTCTGTTTACCAGTTTTCTTGAAACCTGAGCCTGCGTGTCCTTGCTGCTGTCTGGAGTCACTGGAGTCACTGGAGTCACTGTTCTCTGCAATGCGGAGACTTGGCTGTGACCCCAGCATGTTCAGCTAAACGTTAACATTCAAAAGTGCTGCAATAAAGAATGATATTCTGTACAGGGTTATAAACATGCTGTCAGTAAAATAACTCACATTTAAACATCTAATACTGAAAATGAACATCTGACATGCAGTATCTATTAATAATCTTTTAAAGCTACTAATTCTATAAGAACTGTAATTTGTAATTGTTCAAAATCATTAAATTTCATTGTGGTAGAAAAATTATAAATCAAGCACTTAGAATAAAAGTCTGGACCTCTTAGTTTGGTGAGTAAAGAAAATCTCTTTTATTCCAGCAAGTTCAGCAAAGCACTCCCAACACACTCTGGCACTTGGTACCAAGTCACCCCCGGCACACAGAGTAACCAGTAGATAAAACATAACTCCCAGGACTTCTAAGGCCTGATTGGTCATGAAACATCAACAAACTAAGCTGAAACGTATAACAAACACAATTCTCCCGCTCCATTGGTTCACCTTGGTAGCAAGGTAAAGTCCACCCATTGTACGCAACTTACTGGAGACAGCCTCAGCTTCTAGACTCTACATGAGATATGTATATAGATATTAATTATGTGACATTGAATAAAAATACATGGTTAACATATGATTAGTATGATTAACATAAGTATGATTAACATGATGCGATCAATTGTGTAACATATTATATTGACTACTACAACTACTTTATTAAGCTATAACTCTTTGTGCACCAGTTGGGGCAGCTTCGAGTCTCTTCCTGCAAGTGGTGTCTCCCCCCCTTTGCTCCACTGTCTGCCCCTCCAAGGTCCGAGCTTCTGCGGAGCCAACTGCAGGCAGCTATCACAAAGCGAGGTCACACAGTATTCAAAACAATCTCTTCTGGCCTAAGGCCTAAAACATAACACACCCAATACACCTCCCCTCCCGGGCCTACTAATGTCCAATTTTACTTCCACATCATATCATTTTTTTTACAAGAGCTCATCTTTCTTTGAAACTTGCAACAACCTCCAGTAGTTTCTTTTTAATCGAACCTCATCCCATCATGGCACATGGTTTCACACAGATCTTCTGCTCACTTTCGGAGTCTCTGACAGCACTTTGACATCTGCATGTTAATATCGCCATTTCCGTCAGCTGCAGCTCCCCGCTGTGTCTGGGAGTCTGCTAGGTTTTTCGCTGCACTTTTTTTTTAAGCCTTTCCATGAAAGCTTCAGAGTGGAAAGTGAGAATATCTGCATTAAACAGAGCGCCAGCCAGCATGGAAAGTTCATCAGCCGCAGGCCGCATACGGTAAGGCTTAAATGAGTTAATCTGGTGTTGGGGGCGCTTTTGCTCCGGAGCGTTCATTACATGACTAACAAACAAGGCTCCAGCTAATCAGCAGGGGTGTGAACAGTGTACCACCACACTGTTCTGGGACAGCGCTGATTCCCTGGGCACAGTAACAAACCTGCATAGGATTCACCCATGAAAAAGGTCCTCGGACAGTGGACTGAGCCCCAGTGCATTTCCCGCAGTTACTTAGCAATGCATCAGGGATGCAGCGGTCATCTTTCCCGCAGTTACTTAGCAATGCGTCAGGGATGCAGTAGTCATGTCACCGCTCAACCCCACCTTTACCCTTTCATCCATGTGGCACCAGGCACACAGATATGTGACCAAGAGCATCACTAACCTGCTAAATATTGTCAAAACAATCTAATTCCAGACATAACCAAGTCAACAAAAATGATCGTGTCTAATATCGTGCAGACTGATTCAGTCTCATTGGATAAAGTACCTTTCTGATTCATCCTGTCGAAAGCCAAACAAATTATCCACTCAAAGATGTACGGTAGTTAGAGATTATCAAATGTTCCATCGCCAAGTAAAAGGGGGGTCATAAAGAGAGGCAGTTCAATGACAAAATTTACTTTTGCTCACAATTCATCTGAATTGTGCAACAAAAGCAAATTGAAAACTCACATTTGTGTGCGAATACAGGAAAAAGACGCCTCTCTGTTATATGGATTAAATTACAGCCTCCCAGATCTAGGGACATCACAGATGACTTAACATAATCCAGATCATACGACTCCTAGCTGCGATGCATTTCATTTAATTCTGTCCCATTTGACTCACTTACTATTTGGCTCTGGTACTGCGTTTTCATTGCCTGCGTTTGAAGAATCCAAATTCTAATCCGAAGCAATAAAGCAAAGTTAGAGTAAAAAATATTAAATTTAAAAGCACAGAGTTTTTCTGTGCTGATGCAAAAGGGAATTTATTGCTTCGGGGGGGGGGGGGGCAGCTTTAAACTCTTTGCATCCCTTTAAATTCTCCAACATACCCCAGAGAAAACTTTTAGGAAAAATGCACAAATATTCTCAATAACATGCTGTCAAACTAGCATTAAAACCGCAAAATTAGACGCATGTGGAAAGACATCTGCGTTCAGATGCAGATCTCACTTTGCAGAAAGATCAAGCACAGGAATAATAAAATTAACAAAGCCAAGTCACTATGATATCCCCCTTTTTAGAAACATGACACAGGTGTAACTTAATGAATCAGGAGGCAAAGAAGAAAAGCAGACGTGTTGGACTGACAGCTACATTTTCTTATTACCAGTTTGACTGGCTCTGTAATACGCATCTTGCACGATACAGACCAAACATATCTGAGACCGTTTGCCTAAAAGCAACTTGTATTACCGCCACTCTCTCCAAATGTTTGGAGTAGCCCCATCTGTACAAACAGTTTTGGTTTAGCGCTTATAGGACATCCAATCATGGAAAATATATATTTGGTCTTTCGTTCCACAATATAAACATGTCAGTTCCGTTTAAGCTTTTAATTAACTTTGACATCTTCAAACATGGCACTGTGACATGGAAACTGTTGCTCTGATTTTTATTAAATAAGGTTTTGAAGGTACCACTGAAATACATCCACAGAGCAGTAAGCTGTTATGGGATAAATCAGGAGTGCAAGAGTTTCAAAACGAAAAATATGAAAGCAAACAACTGGCGACTTTCACTGTCTTTTATTGTTTTTCAGATATGATCCACGGGTCAAAGGCAGAATCCTTTCGGTCCCAAGATTACAACAAAATTACAGATTCCATCTTCACAGATCACAGTTTTTACACAACTTGCACATCAAAAGGCTTCCAAAATCTGCTGTAGCACAGGTTATGTCAGCATTTCCCAGAATGCTCACTCCCAGCCATACACATAATCCATACCTTTATAACACAGATACATTTATGCCTGTCCTGGTCACGGCACTCAGCCATTCATTTTACTAAGAAATTCAGCCTTATACATTTATTTTACTCCACTGTGTAACTATGGTGACAAAAACATCAAGCTGAAGAGGCTGGGTCAGCTCAACGGCAATACTCACATAGCCACGGAAACAGCTGCTCGCTTGGGAAAATTTAGAAGCAAGATAAACGATTGACAGCGTTCACGGCATATGGCGGAGACAGGCTCTTGAAAAGATGGACACCACGCCGCTCTGACCGCCATGTCCTGAGGTTAACCATTAAATAAATTAATGCATAAATACAGATCACAAAAGAATATATACACACATACACACACACATAAATACATATACTTCAAAACACGGTAGCGCATAAAAAATAAACATGTCTTATAATAATGTTTTATCTCCACTGACAGCCGGCTCACTAAAAAGCAGCATTTATAAAGACATCTGTATTAAGACATTAGGTCTCCTGCAGGTCCTCTGTGAAACCAGAACCTTACACTGTAGACATCGACCTCTGTGTTCCCAATTCTGCTTAAGCATTACAGCTTATCACAGCGACACAGGTACCACGAATGAGTGTGACTTGCTCAAACTTAGAGCAATGGACAAAATAGCAACGTGTACCAGCGGATGGACATCACTGTGAAAAATGTCACCCTTATTAATCCTGCATAAGAGCTATGAATCCACAAGACAACCTTGTCCCCCCCCCCCCCAAGCACACAGCTGATCGGGAAAGCACATCTGCGGGGTGCTAGAATTGAATGCCGCATTGATGATGTCGCTTACTCCACACAGCTCTCAGGCTGTGACGAGACGGACACAGGTCACTGCGGCATGACACGCACACAGGTTACTGAGGAGACACGCACACAGGTCACTGCGGCATGACACGCACACAGGTTACTGAGGAGACACGCACACAGGTCACTGCGGCATGACACGCACACAGGTTACTGAGGAGACACGCACACAGGTCTCTGGTTACTGCAGTGAAACACAAACAAGTGACTGCAGTGAGACACACATACAGGTCCCTGTTGCAGTACACACAGGTCACTGCAGAAAAACGCAAACAAGTGCCTGCGGTGAGAAACACACACACAGGTCACTGCAGAAAAACGCAAACAAGTGCCTGCGGTGAGAAACACACACACAGGTCACTGCTGCAACACACACAAGTCATTGGGGCGACACAAACACAGGTCACTGCAGCAAAATGCAAACAAGTCCCTGCGATGAGGCGCACACAGGTCACTGCTGCAACACACACACAGGTCACTGCTGCAACACACACACAGGTCACTGCAGTGAACCATACCTGTGGCAGCTCCCAGACAGCAGGGAAAACTCTCGCTTAGCTAGGATAACGTGAGGGGAACATCTAGGACAAAGATCCACAACATAAAGACAGCCAGCAAACATCTGCCAGGAATGGCAGGTCATTTCCCCCTCCACTAAACTGTGTTCACAGTTAACTTTCCAGCAAATTTGTTTCTTGAATGATGGGCGTATGTTGGCATCTTTTGATACTGGTTTGGATTCTGGATTAAATCTGGGGACTGGAGACTTTGTAATGGCAGTGGTTTGTGGATACCCATAACGAGAGAAAGAGTAGACTCTGAAGAGTGGGGGGTCCTTCCAGTTCATGCCCTCAAACCCAGAGCAGTGCTAAAAGTTTTCTAGAATCAAATAGACGTCCTGTTCAAACATGAAGCAGGTGGCCGGTGATTAAATCCTCTGCGGACGAGTGTGTCCATGGTGCATAAGGTCAAGAAATACACAAGCTAAAATCTGACATGGATCTTCGTGCAACAACTCCAAAAGCCAAGGCTGATAGCTGAGGCACTGGCCTTGCTTGTCTGGAGTGCAGTGGCTGGATGTTTGTGTGGGTAACTGCATTGGGAGGGCACTCCGCTACCCCTTCACTCTGATGACACTCTGGCTATCCAGACAGGCTTCCCAGCAGAATCTTCTGAAAGTCTTCGCTAGAAGATTCCGGAATGAGAAACTCCAGAAGCAGGTCCCAAATGGAACAGACAAGGTGCCTGCACAGGATCAGAGAAAAGACTCCAGAAGTCATCACCACAGAAATTAGAAAATTCAAAATAGTGTGGATGGAATGAAGAAAATGTTTGTTTTCTTGATCTGGAATAGACTGTCATTACACAGTCTGCAAGGAAAGCCACACTTCATCTGGCTAGAATCGTGACCATGAAATGTAGCTGAAGGAGTCTGTTTGCATGCGTGTCTGCTGTGTGTGTATGTATGGGTGTGTGTTCATGTGTGCATGTGTGTGTGAGTCCGTGTGCATGTGTGTGTGCTAGGAGTGTAATGGTACACGTATTCATAGCAAACATTTTCGGTTTGGGTCTTTCGGTTCAATATGCGTATGAATCAAACGAATGCAGTAAATGCAGAACCTTTAGCGTGTGTTTCCCCGGAGCAACGCTGGAAAAGGGCGCATGAAGCCGCAGCAGGAAACATGCGTGTATAATTATGGCAAATACAAATAAACTAGCAGATGCAGGCCCTCCACTATCACTAGTATAGTGCAGGCATTTCGAGTCAAATGCTGCACCATCATGGATATTTATTTTGTTACACTTGAAAATACAGTACAGGTTAGGTGCAGTTAATTTTCTAAATGTGAACCTTAATGGATAGTTTATTTTAATTTTAATTTACTTGACAGAATGTAAATCTTTTACAATATTATTATTTTTGTTAGGTTGGGGCAGTATTGACAGAGAATTTTTAAGAGTCATACTTTGTTCAATAAACCAACGTTTAATAAAGAAAAAAATAAGCAATTCATGTTTTGTTTCTTTTACCCCCTCAGTACCGAAAATGTACCGAACCGTGATTTCAAACCCGAGGTACAAACCGAACCGTGATTTCAAACCCGAGGTACATGCCGAACCGTGATTTCAATCCCGAGATACATGCCGAACCGTGATTTCAAACCAGAGGTACATATCAAACTGTGATTTCAAACCCAAGGTACATATCGAACCGTGATTTAAAACCCGAGGTACATATCAAAACCGTGATTTCAAACCCAAGGTACATATCGAACCGTGATTTCAATCCCGAGATACATGCCAAACCGTGATTTCAAACCAGAGGTACATATCGAACCGTGATTTCAAACCCGAGGTACATATCAAACCGTGATTTCAGACCCAAGGTACATATCGAACCGTGATTTCAAACCCAAGGTACATATCAAACTGTGATTTCAAACCCGAGGTACATATAAAATCGTGATTTCAAACCCAAAGTACATATTGAACCGTGATTTCAAACCAGAGGTACATATTGAACCCTGATTTTTGTGTACCATTACACCTCTAGTGTATGCGCACGTGCATGTGTGTGTGCGTGTGTGCATGTGTGCGTGTGTGTGTGTGCGCGCGCGTGCGTGCGTGTCTGTGTGTGTGTGCGCATGTGTGTGTGCGCATGTTTGCATTCACTGGCCCTTCATCACCACCTGTTGATCTGGGCTTCCTGCAGGGAATCCAGAACCACCTGCCAGCTCAGCTTATATTTCTCTGGTCCCAGCAAGTTGGAGATCCGATCTGTGAAGAGGGGAGACACCATCTTTAGGGACAGGCCTCTCTCACGCACAGGCCGTACGGCGGTTTGTCGCTGACGCCGCACGTGCGGCTGCTGACGTCACCCGTGCCCCGATTTTAAGGTGAAGCGTTTAAGGTTGGTTTTACATCTTCCTAACACGCACTTTTTCCAGAAATCATGGGCTTTCATAATGATGCAATAATTAAAATAAATAAAGCCAAAGACTCCAAATTCAGCACTGGAATAAAAGCAGCACCTTTTCCTAACAGTCCAGAGGCACCGTTTTTCCATTTCTTAGGGGGGAAAAAAATTCCAAAACACAATTAGAGATTAATTTTAAGCAGAGTTAACTGGTCATCATTTAAAAGAAGCCTTGGCGTTAACGGCGGATTAAAAATCAGGCCAAGGAGGTCTCCCTAGGAAAATCAGGGGCTCTGCTCACTCCTGCCCCCGCAATCTACCATTTTTATGTTGTCAGCAGCATCACAACCAGACAAAGCCCACAGACAAAGTATGCATTTTGTAATTAAAACCCGATCGTTGTGCATTTTGTAATTAAAGTCCGATCGTTGTGCATTTTGTAATTAAAGCCCGATCGTGTGCTTTTTGTAATTAAAGCTCGATCGTTGTGCATTTTGTAATCAAAACCCGATCGTTGTGCATTTTGTAATTAAAGTCCGATCGTTGTGCATTTTGTAATTAAAGCCCGATCGTTGTGCATTTTGTAATCAAAACCCGATCGTGTGCTTTTTGTAATTAAAGCTCGATCGTTGTGCATTTTGTAATCAAAACCCGATCGTTGTGCATTTTGTAATCAAAACCCGATCGTTGTGCATTTTGTAATCAAAACCCGATCGTTGTGCATTTTGCTAACACAGGTTGTGACACAAGTGCTGAGCTGTGCATGGAAGCAAATTCCCGAAAACCAAACATGTGGCATGATTTGATGGACACATAGAAAAGGCGCGGAATGGTCCCAACTGGGCAGCTAGGTCCCATCAGAATCGGCGGAGACCCGGATCACACTAAACATTCCGTCATTCTTCCAGGGCAAAGACACCAAGACTTCTTTGAAATTATATGTTACAGTAGCTCAGTCATCATCCCCTGCTGAGTCACTTGATTTTACTAGGTGCTAATTACAAGTGTTCTATATGCCTCACTTGTAAGCTGCTTTGGACAAAAACAACTGCTAAATATGTAAATGTACATGTAACTGACAAAGCCCCCTGGGGGGGGGCACTTGCCTGAGAATGACTGGAGGATCTGAAATATCAGTCCTGTACCAACACTGAAGTTCACCATCTAATATTCAAGAATGCAATGGGATGCACATGATGACATTTTAAGTAACCACACGCATACTATATCTCTCGCCTCTTGCCCTTGAGCAGTGTTCTGACCATTGGTATTTTGTAGCATGTAACTGACGGCGGGCACTGGGACCTGGGAGAAGCTTCATGAGGCAGAGCAGGGTCAGCTTCCAGGTGTCCTCCTTCTGCTGAGGGGTCCGCTGGGGACAGGGCCAGGCCGGCAGCAGGCCCCCGGGCCAGATGGCCTCCTGCAGAAGCTGCAGGTAAACCACCCAGTACTGCGTGCACGTCAGGTTGGCCACACGCACCTCCAACCACCTGGGGGAGACAGGACAGAGTAAGGGGCCTCACAGGTGAGAGCGGACAGAAACGGGGGCCCTCACAGGTGAGAGCGGACAGAAGCGGGGGCCCATACGGGTGAGAGCGGACAGAGGCGGGGGCCTCACATACAAAAATGGACAGAGGCAGGGGCCCTCACCAGCGAGAGCGGACAGAGGCGGGGGCCCTCACCAGCGAGAGCGGACAGAGGCGGGGGCCCTCACAGGTGAGAGCGGACAGAGGCGGGGGCCCTCACCAGCGAGAGCGGACAGAGGTGGGGGCCCTCACAGGTGAGAGCGGACAGAGGCGGGGGCCCTCACCAGCGAGAGCGGACAGAGGTGGGGGCCCTCACAGGTGAGAGCGGACA